CCCCGTACCATTTACCTGAACTATCGGAATGACGGATTGACCTTCATAACGCTAGATGATTGTTAGAGGTCACGCAGAGCTAACACTGTGTGTTTGACTGAATCACTAAATTCGAATGATGAAGGAAAAGATTCACCACGCATTTTAGACTTCAACATCAGACACGTTAATTCCAAAGATCTTAACACAAATGTCTCTATATATTCTACAAGATATTTGACGTGAATTTTAAATCTTGACATTTGTCACAAAGTCAGTCAAGCGTGATTCCTGTGATCAGGTAGATCATGAAGAATCGTTTTACTTAAAAACAAAGAGGCGAGGAATAACTTACAGACAAAAGAAAATGGTGAAATTTTGAAAGGACGAGACAACCCAACTTCACCATCACGAAACCGAGCTGTAGTTTTTCAGGTAAAGAATGTTCTGTTAGTATCATGACATTCTTTAGATATAGAAGAGATTATGAGATATGACGGCATTGAGGACAATTACAACAACCTAGAGCCAATCTGATACAACGTTTATCAGATATAGACACATTATAACATCTTTTGATATCAGGCTTTCTTTCTACTCGTCAGGTAACGCTTATAGTAGAATGTTGGAAATACCAAAGATCAGGAAAACATAAGGTTATCGAAAAACAACGTTGACATTTCATGAATATATATGACCCTAGCCGAGAGAAAAAATGAATGTTTCTATTCACAACAAAATATTTGAATTAACTCTCTATTTCAAAAGGTCAGGCTGGCTGTGTACATGTACGTGCGTCATGTTTTGCCGAAGGGGGAGGCAGGTTTTCAAATTGTTCAGTCGGATGCGTTAAAATTAAATGTTAAAGTGCGGGCAAGGTGATTTGGTGCGCATTTTCACATACACGTATTTGTGTTCTTCATATATGAAAGGTGTTATGACAGTTTATGCGGTAGAGTAGAAATTACGAAACGGTGGGAAGATATTGAGATTTAGCCAAAACAATCTATGGTAAATCTTATCAATCGAGTGACTCAGACTCAGCTGTCACAATGACATTCCTGTTGCTTGAAAATTTCTTCAGGCGTTATCAGGACATTGTATCTAAAGACCATCACGCACCTTTGGACAAACTCCTAAACTTACCATTCAAATATATTCAGTTGTTGAATCCTATAACCATTCTAAAACAGAAAATTTTAAAGCTATCAGGAATGAGACTTATCGCCCACAATATGCGTTCACGAGATTGTCTTTAGGATTGCCTTTGTCACAAAGCCAGTTAAGTGTGATGTCTCTCAATTATACGAATGGTTGCCCAAGAATGATGCAAGATCCCGGCCTTTAAAGACAATTGGGGTTGTTGTGATGATGATACAAATGTACATGCTGACGGGAGATCTTCAAATCTAACTCGGTCTATCAAATCCCTGTCTTGTGCCTGTGGTCATTCTCTACAGGAGACGTAGAAGATGATAAGGCGATAAGTGATTATGCACCACAAAGGTTACTTCTAGTCATGTAGAAAATCTTAACTCTGGTGTCCTTCACTGACATGGCTGGAATGACCCTAGGTCAGGGTAGCGTTGCGTACATTAAAAAGATACAATGTTGCGGCTCACATTCGTTGTAGGTCGTTGAACAATTTTGATACCGTAGAATTTTTAGGCAGGTGGTAACTTAGAACCAACCAGCTATAAGGACCTTAAGAATCTTCAATTACAAGAAAGCTTAAGCTTGATATTGCAGGATACATGCACGACTGTCTCAAGAATGCTATCAGTTTCCGATCGTACTACGACGATGGGCCTTAACGTGTACAATTACAAGTACGAGGGGGCCGCATGCGTATAGTCTCTACCAGACTAAGTCCACTCACGGGATAGAAGAAAATAGTAAAATGTAGCTAAATAGAGATAACTATTTCCAAGCGGAGTTTGACCTTGACAGTCGCAGGGTCATTCATTTGCCAGATGCAGGGGCTCACGTCTTCGGCCTATTTCTGCCGAATCACACTATTAATTGCTCTTGAAGGCCTGGTACAGACTAGACTGTGTACGTGCGTTATGCATGCCTTTGGCTGAGAGGAAAGCAGGTTTTTCAACTACACCACACTACGTGCGTCAAATGTCAAAGGTCTCGGAAAGCTGAGTGATTGAACGTGCATGATTTCCCCCGTACAACGAACGCATTGCTGTGATGCAATTGACAATGCAAACCTGACATAATGCATAACGCTCCACAAATGAGAGCCGAACATTTGCATCCGGCGTCACAATGTCCAAGACTTTCTTTCGAATTTGTTGATCGCAAAAAGGTCGCCAAATTGTCAAAATCGCCACAGAATCTACCCTAAAACATCTACCCTGTTATAATAGACGGTGCTTGCAACATAGGCCGATCCCTAAAATCGCGCAGTGATATTTAGTGATCGGCCTTTTTCCAGCTTTGTTACGCCAGCTTTACCAACATCCATCCATCCATGTACAAAAAGGCCGCATCAGAAAGATAATTTCGGGGAAACTGACGAGGATACATGCAGGAAATGAAAATATAATCCTTCTGCAAATTTGTGACGACGCATGTAGTCAAAGATTTGTTAATCACTACCTGAAATTTTGACTGTTAACATGTTGGCTCTAATACTAATAACAGAAGTTTTGAAAAGCCTCCCAAACGACCATCAGAAAACACTGGGAAGATGTCCGTGTGTGATATGCTTCTCACACAATACACGTTACCAAGATATCCATACAAAGATATGGTTCATGTTCCCATTTTGCGCTTACAATATAAATGCGAATATCTGTGAACTGTCGATGTATATTTTCGTTTTAACTTTTTCTTGTCTCTTTTGCAACAACAAGTTTTGATCAACGTACTTTTCACTGTGTTTCATGTACGTGGCCGTCTAACAACGTTATTTTCCCTATCCTATTACAAACTGTGTGAGAGATACGTATTTAGCTGCCATGTAGTCTACACCAGACTCCTTTTGCAGGCTGAATAAATAGTAGAAATCGGCCTAAAAAGGGGATATAATTGGCTAGAGAAGGTAGCAGACCAGAGAAGCTCCATTTGCCTGCACGTATATTCATTCAGCCTGCAAAAGGAGTCTGGTGGAGACTAGCTGCCGTGTGCTACACGTATAAAAATGTACAACAGTGGCCGGGACAGCCATACTAGAATACTCGTACATAGGGCTGACAAGTCAGACGCCGTCCACGGCCATAACACCATGGCCTGGGTCAGAATGCTTCCATCATCTCTCCAGGTGAAATGATGCGTTCCTTCTTGTACGGCTAGAACATGTATATATTTGGCCCACTGGCAATAGAAAGGCATTGACTGTATGGACGGTTAAAAACTGATGCAGAACGAGTTGGAAACTAGAATCTACGGATGCCTACAAGTAAAACCAAGTACTGTTTTCATATCTCTCCATGAAGCTGAGTTGGGAGTTATACTTTAAGAGCTGCCGGAATCAGGTTTAGTGAATGGGAATCAAAGAAACAAAAACTAAGGAGAAGCCGAATCAGACGAATCAGATTGGGCCTTGAAGAAATCTTTTAGGGTTGCCTCAAAAAAAAAAAACAATAGCATTGTACATTCAATCGGTCCGTAATTGGCTCTCACACTATATCAACTTTTCATTATGTTATCATTACCGTGATCGTTCAATTCAAGAGCGTAAAGTTCTATCATGGGGACGTCTGCACTCTACAAGTATGATTTACTACGTAGTATTTTAAGTTCAAGATTGTAAACGTCAGCACAATTCGGGTTTTCGTTGCCAGGTCAATAATTTGTTCTATGTTTCCCCAAATAAGCCAATAAGTACCACCTTTCCTACTTTGTCTCAACCGTAGAGGATCGATCAGGTACGCTTTCCTGAGACTGATCCCGACGACGACGAGAAATTTGCCAGAACTAGCCAGGGGCCTTGAATAAATCTTAATCATCACACAACAAAAGGACAGCGACGCAAGGTCTTCTACCACTATACATAGAAACAAATATGTGGATATAGCTGAACTTACACATAAACATCATAGACATATAAACAAGTGAATACAAAAGTCAAAAATGAAATAACATACAAATACAAGTCAGAAGAAAGGAATCCCATCGGTCGGCCGTCAGAGCAAAGCAGTAAGATTCCAATCCTCAATAGCCTTTTGCTAATAAGTGAAGTATCAAAGCTCCAACTAATATCACGAACATGCATTTTAGCATTTTTACGGCGCGGCCACATTTCCCGTACGGTTTTGATGCCGCGGAATCGTCCGTGAACCAGCCTGTGACAGAAACGACCCACGAGAAGGGGCCCCGACAAGGATAGACCGAGCATTTTCCGTAGCAACAGACTAGCCGAATTTTCCAGGACACATGGAAGGACACACTATCGCAAGAATACTCTACGACGATCGTACATGTCACCGTGCACTAACTTGAATACAAAATATGAATCGGCACGAACATACTCAGTGAGGTTCTAGCACATCAAGACGTTTTTTTCTCCCCTAAGACTTACATTAAGTTTTGCTACAGTAAGAAAACATGACCTAGAAAAAAAAATCATGACCTAGAGAATATTCTTGGGTTCTTATTAACAAGGTCATTCAATCCAATGTAAGCCAATACGTAGAGCGTGTTTTGTTGGAAGTCTACTGGTGTTCTGTCTATGTAAATGTGCACTCTTGAAGAATACTTTATCAAACTCGAATCGAGCGCAACACGTTGCATTGCGCTCCCATGTGCATAGCTACATAGTACATCAGAACTGTTTCAAACACATGCACAGCGATAACTTCTCCTTCAAACAAGACTAGGAGATTGAAAATCATTCTTACTAGCACTTTACGACGTATCATGATCAATGTGACGATATTGACGGTGAAACAAAAGACAGCGCAATCCTCACCTCAAAAGAATGTTGAAGACGCGGGTGAACCCGCGGGCGCGTGTGCCCACCAGCCGAGGTCGCCTCACTCCACCACTGCTCCAGCAATCACACACGGGGAGTCTGTGGCTCAAAGGTCCGAATATCTCCGATTACACGAAAAGAGAAAACTCTGTAACCAACTTCCCCGGTACCAGAGCACGCCGCCGACCTGTCCGAGAGACAGCTCCTCGGACCCCGGACTGAACGTGCAATCGCGCGTACCGAGATAATGCAATAATTACCCCGAACAAAGACGTCATTGAAGTTGATAATCCAGGTAAAATTATAATTAGGGGGTAGGGCGGTTGTACCTTAATCTGAAAAAGGTATTTGGAAAAAAACACTTGACGTTGCGTCGGCATAGGTGACGTCAACTAACTTTTATGGCTCAAGTATGCATTGTTATTTCGACTGTATTCGGAATTAACTTTAGAATTAAAAGTATCTTGTTGATACCCCCACCTTTGTTTTAAGACAATGGGCTCGCCCAAAATGTGCGATGTTCCAACCCACCTCCTCCAGGCTAGGGTGGGCCGACAGATTGTCCAACCAGTTTGCCTTTGATGCGGGCAGTCATGCCAGGTCAGGGGTCATTGACGAAACTGTTGCCAAGGTACGATAAAGGTTAGACATCCATGTAGAACATCACGTAATACAAAATTAATCAAATAAATCAGAGAAGTCAGACATTTCATATAACATCTGCTATCTTTCATCACTGACTGTTGCTATGGTGTAGGAGTCTTAGAAAGGCCTAATATTAACAGGAACAGGAAATGTCGACAAACAACGAGGATAAATGAATTGATATTTGGTAAAAATACATCTTCAGATGTTTCAAGAGGACGAATGCTATTGCAAACGATACATTGAGTCCAATTGGCATTTTATTCCTCGGTGTAGAGCTGATAAGGATGACATCAGCAGCGTAACGTATATACTGTATAAGCTAATAGGATATGAATGAACACTATGAATGAACACTATGTATTAAAAGTACTATCATAGCTAAATGATTACAGTGCGTAGTTTCAGTGTTAAATTTTCGCCACTGTCAGAAAACAGATGCGAGTTGAACTGGATAATGCCATGACGGAACAGAGGTCGATCAAGTCGTACGTTTACGTCACAAGACACGTGATGGCTTGTCTATGAAAGGGTTTTATGAGGTGGAAAATGCGGGAGCCTCCTTGAGTTTTTAAGGGTCAATGTCGTTTGTCTTGTTAAAGGTATCCAATGCGATTTCAGAGTGGCAAAAAAAAGGAAATATTCTAAATAAGGTAATCTGTATGATATTGGCATATACTGCCCCACATTAGCTTTGGGCATACAACCCAGCACAGAAAACAGCCCCAGATGAGTCTTTATTTTCTGGATGGTACCGCAAAAATCACCCCAGGATCCTACCAGTAACCGTTTTCCGTCACAATTTTCGTCCGTCAATTTTTCTCCATGAATGTCGATATACATTGTTGTTTCAACTTGTTATGTAGAAAAATAACTAAAATGTTGACTTATAAAAAAATCTGGTTTTCAAGCTTTAAAAACTGCATTGGGTACCTTTAACGTTATCTGCCATAGCTTCATCACAACCATCTCCTGTTCTCACGTA